ACAGAAAAAGCTTTCCAATTTCCATGCAGCTTTCCTCCACATGTTCACCTGATTGTTGGCTCACTCACTCGCAAACCAGAGCCTGCAATTTTCCTTTCTTCTGCTGTCAGGGGAAACCACCGCTTGTGTCCTTCAATATTTCTTCTCTTACTTCTTCTTGACGAAAATCACAAATACTTATTTATATCAATGAAATCTGGCTTGGTTCCAGCTCTAGTCCAGAAAGCAAAACCTTCAGCGGTTTTTCAGAAGATTTCACGACTTCTAGCCGATTAGCATGAAAAGGAAAACAAATTCTGGAGCTTTTGAAATCAGTCCAAGCGATCTGTGACTTTTAAAGTAAGATTACAGTGTTTGTTCAAGTTTGTGGGAACGACTTTAAGCCTCATATTATCTCCACCAATCATATGAAGTTTGAAGGATATGACTAATACATGAAGAAATCGTGAAGCTTGCCAGATTCCTTTTGGATGCGTCCAGCCTGTTGCCGATTTGCTCTTTTGAAGTCTCTCTGCTTGGCAGTCTCATTAACGCGGCTGCTTCCGCCTGAGGACGACACTGGAGAACAGCTGCTGTTGAAATCAATGGTTTTGATCAGAGATTAGCTCATTTTCAACCTGGTGAAGCTTCATTCTGCTCTAATGTTTGGGTTCTTCCTGCTTTCTTACTATGAGATGGCTTCAGAATCACAAAAGAAGAGATTATTTGATTTAAAAGCTGAATAGATCATTTTAAAAACATAAGAAAAGGGAATGGGTTCTTCACATTAGACTTGTCCTTTCAGAGTAAAAGGAAGCTACAGACTGCAGCTTTTACTTTGAAAGGATAACCTTGATTATTATGGGATGTTTATGACTCAATCTTGAGTAATATTTCTGGATTTTCTTCCCTCTGAATCAAAACAAACTCATATAAACTTATATGAATTATACCAAAATCTACACCTACCTTTATATTTTGGTCCGTCTGATGATGTACTTATTTAATCACTTCCTGCTGGAAACATCAAAATAAAAGCACTTTGTTTTTTGTTTATTCTGAAACAATAATTTATTGATTTTGTTGTAACTTACACCCTGAATTTAAACATATTTACCATTTATAATTGAGAATAAAAGCTTTAAATGTGATTTAATATTGTGTCCTAATCATATGTAAATAATCAAGACTTTTAATCTCACTAAATATTTAGAGATTACTTGATTATTTCAATTTGTAAGTTACACAGTCACTCAAATTAGGAAAATTTAACAAATCTTTGCAGCTGTCAAACATTTTGTGGAGGATTGATTATTGTTTTTCAGTCACATTATTAGTAATTATTTGAATTCTAATCAAAGTGCAAAGTTTTATTAGATTTTGTGGTTGTCGTTTAACTAAACTTTTAAAAACACTCAATCACTTCAGGTTAGACGGTTATAAAATACAGAACAAAATTAAATTTCCAGTGCAATTACATCCTATTTACCCTAATGTGTTGTAATGGGTTGCTGCGTACCGAGATGCATTATTTGGATAATAACAGCCGATTGCAGGCTTTGCATTGTGCCGAGTCCCTCACACTGTAATCAGATTTCATTATGCAGATTGTGTAGGAGGAGCTGCGGTTCGGGTTGACAGATATTCCCGTCCTGAAGCTGCAGGCTGAGCTTCACTCTCGGCTTTCAGAGGAAAGTTGTTGCTTCTGCCTTCTAGGAACAACGTTGGAGGAGGAGTTTGGTGACTTTTAGCTTTTGAGAAAATTAATAATAGGAAGAAATGTGTGTCTTTGTTTCTCAGGTTTGCTTGAAAACACATTAAAGCAACAATTTTGTCTTTTTTAATTACTTTTAGGCACATTGAGTTCTTTTAATTTAAGTCAACAACCTCACCTTTTAGAGTTGCCTCTGAAAAATAGATTAATTGTGGTCTAAATTATAACTGTTTGTTACTTCTATTGAACCTAATGATTCTTTTTATTTTATGATATTTTGTTGCTGAAATGTGTCGTGGTAATCAATTTGACTTTATGACGTTTTTGTTTGAATGCCAAAGTGGATTTTAATATTCCTTAAACGCGAGAAATAATTGAATTCTTTAAAAACTTTTTTGTTGTTGCTGGTGTTGGAGCCTTTTTAGTATTTGACAAATTATTTGCAAAATAATTCTAAATATATACAAATGGTCGAAAATCTTTTTTTTTTCTTTTTGTTGTGTTTAAGAGGAAAGGGCAGCTCTAAAAACCAGAAAATTAGTATTTATATGAGAATTTTGAATAAAGTCAACCAGATTATTCTCCTTTTTAATCCAGAAACTTCTCTGACGTTCTCTATTTAGTTTTTTTTTTTTTTTTGGTGCTAAATATGAAGCAATCGTAGCCATGACAGTTGCTTGCTCTGATGAAAAACTTGTGTTTTTGGTTGAATTGCTTCTTCCAGCTGTAGTTGTTCCAGCGTCGGCCATTTTTCTGCACATCATAATCATCCCCCTCCCAGCCGAGGCAAACTGGGGAGAGTAAACATGCAGAGCGCCACTGAGCTGCTCCAAACACACTTAATCACTTCTTGAGATTGGGAAGGTGTCAGCAGTGGGAGCAGAGGCGCAGCGTAAATATGTGCTGGAGAAATGGGTTGATTTGCTTCATTTACATTCAAGCGCCATGAAGTTGTCGTTCCGTTGTCAGCGCGACGGGGAATAAAGATGAGAGCGAGGTTGCTTTCGCCTTGGTCTCCTTCTGTTGGTTGATAAAATGACAGGCAGCAGTTGACTGGGTGACGGGACTCGCTGCGTGTTGCTGACAGCCCTCACCCAGCGCCGCTGATAAAGTCATCAGGGTCTCTGCTGTAACAATGCAGAGGCCCTGAGAGACACGCTGTATTTACAGTACGTGGCTCATGTAATAGGAATGTCGTTTGTACTCCCATAACATACACGGCACCGAAAGATAATTATTTCCTGCATCATGTAGACACAGTGTGACGTCACGTCCCCTGCTTTCTGCTAGAGGGCAAAAAGATGCTTGCTAACAATGACTGGCATTGGTTTTAGCTGTTAAGTTATCAATAAAACACGTCATTTAAAAAAAAAAAGGAAGGCAGTGTTTGTAGTGCTATTCAACACTGCAATGACTAAACAACAAGTTTTAATTAAGAAAAAAAACACACCGCATAAGACGGACGGAAATAATTCAGTTATGCTAGCTTGACTATGACAACCGTAACATGTAGATGTGATGTGGAATTTAGTGTTTCGGTTTAGTTATAAATAAAAAAAGGCGACCTAAACACACCAACACAGTGGAGTTAGATCTGTTAGATTAGCTAATAGCATCAGTAGCTAATGTATCACTGATCTGCTAGATTAGCTAATAGCATTGGTAGCTAATGTATCACTGTTCTGTTAGATTAACTGATAGCATCAGTAGCTAATGTATTACTGATTTGTTGGATTAGCTAATAGCATCGGTAGCTAATGTATCACTGGTCTGTTAGATTAGCTAATAGCATCGGTAGCTAATGTATCACTGTTCTGTTAGATTAGCTAATAGCATCAGTAGCTAATGTATCACTGATCTGTTAGATTAGCTAATAGCATTGGTAGCTAATGTATCAATGTTCTGTTAGATTAACTAATAGCATCAGTAGCTAATGTATCACTGATCTGTTAGATTAGCTAATAGCATCGGTAGCTAATGTATCACTGATCTGTTGGATTAGCTAATAGCATCTTTAGCTAATGTATCACTGATCTGTTGGATTAGCTAATAGCATCTTTAGCTAATGTATCACTGATCTGTTAGATTAGCTAATAGCATCAGTAGCTAATCTAACACAGCGATCACTTATTAATAATCTCAAAAATAACATCAAGCCTCAAAAGATGAAACTATAATGGACTGAATGTTTTGTTCTTTGTGTGTTTTTTTTCTTTGGTGTTAAATCCTGAGACATATTGTGGCGTTGTTGTAAGTTGCTATGGCAGTGACTTTGTTTGTAGCATAGCCGACACAAACAGCGAGAAAAACGAGGTTTTGAATTGTTCTTCAATAGTTTTTCTGTTATTTTCCCCTTTGCTGCACTGAATTAATAACTCCTACATCTGCAGGTTTAATTTAGTTAATGGGGTTGACTTTCAAGAAGTAATTATTAATGCCATCAATCTGGGAAGGATTAATAGGGCAATTAATCCTTCCCAATTCTTTTCCCTGATAAAATGATGATAAAGTCATCATTTTACATTAAGAGAGATTATTAACAAGAGGAAAACTTTGAAGATTTCAAATGTATGCTTTCAAATTTACTGTACTTTCGATGTTGAGTCTCTTTTTCAAACTCAGTTTAACTTTCTCGATAGTCTAATTAAAAACACCTCTGGATTATTCTGTTTATTCCACTACAGTTCAAATAAACCATGTAGTTCCTGAGATGTAAGGAATTCCTCAAGGCTCTGTCTTTGGTCACAATAACCTTTTAGTATTTATTCTGCCAATTGAGCCATTCTTTTAGCAGAGAAATGTTTCTTTCCATCTCTTTCTGAAGTTTCAAGATACAAATCACTCTCCCAAAGGTAAAAGTGAATTATTTTCTCTCTGTGCACCTTGGAAAGAAAACAGCGTTCCTGCTGCACGTGCTTCAAACCCCTAATGTGTATAGAGCCACAGAAATCAGCCTGACATGATCAGAGCTCAGGCCTTATGAGTCAGACAGGAAGCAAGGACTCTCTGTTTTCCTGATTCGTTTCCGTTTGAGTGGTTCAGCCAAGCAGAAACATCATCATTGTTTCACGTCCCGGTGTGTTTTCACCAAAGCTGGGTCAAAATGTCAACTGAAATCCCCGTGGGAATTACAAACATCCGTCGTGTTTCCAGGAAGTCCCAACAAATCGCTCACGATGCCAGCTTATTGTCTTATTGCTGTTATGTATTCAGAAGGTGTTTACACGTCTTCATGGAAACGGACATTTCTTTAGTTTTCGTCCCGTCACCTCGGCAGAAAGTGACTCCTTGTTTGTGTTTGTTTCAGTTCCTCCGTCGTTATCGGTCTTCCAGCAGTCCTTCAACGCCACAGCCGACTACCAGGAATCAGTCACCTTCACCTGCATCACTTCTGGATCTCCTGATCCTCTGGTCACATGGCACAGGTAATCCTCTTGATACATCAAAATCCATTCATTACCTTCAAAATACGCATTTTTGTGGTATTATAATTGTCTTAAGTTATCGCGATAATATTTTTCTTTTAAGAGAATTTTTAAGTAATGGTAAGAAAACGATTCTGAACTTTAAATTCTAGTGAATATTTAGCGCTAAAACTGGAAGACATTTTAAATATCCAACATAAATAAACTAAACAACAAATAAGACGAATTATGAAGTTTCTGTAAACAAAATTGCCCTTCACAATAAAGCGAGTTGAGACCAAAACACCAGAATGAAAATTTTTATCATTCAGTTTTTAGTAGAAAAAGAGAAAAATGCTAAATTATGGAAATGGAAATAATTGACTTTGTTTTATTTATTGCTTGTGGGTCATACATGATCCTTTATTTATATTTGTCTTCTTTATTTTTCATTTTCTGCTTGCAAAGGTTGAAATTAAATAAAATTTACCAACTAAATGTCAGTCAATACTTTTCATAGTCAGTAGTTTCATAAAACAACTGATAAATTAAAGATAATCCAATTCACCTTTCAATCAATCAAGTTTATTCATATTGAACATTTGATGTGTTGTTACACATCAAAATGTCAATTAATGTTTCATGTATGATGTTTGAAAAGCAACTCTAAACTTGCCTAAATTGAAAACAAACTCAGTGTTTCGGCTGTTTTGCAGTTTTCTTTAAGTGTTGTAGATTTCAGCGTCTCAGATGAGTCACAGAACAGAGCAAGTTTCAAAGTTTGTGAACGGAAAGCGTTCAGTTTCTGCTGTCACGCTTGTCTTTTACTCACACACTCCAGATTCACTTCTTGTATTTTCAGTTGCAGACAACAAAGATATCATGTCGCAGTTCCAATTAGGGATTCTGCAATCCGCCCTCACACATCACCTCCAACAGCTGCAGAAAAAGATCAAATGTCAAACAGCAGCGGCGCGAGAATTTGCACCAGACGTAGTTGACACTATCCACTCTTCTCTCCAACATCCAGCAACCCTCCCAGGCAATTGTGACAAGCTCTTTGCACCTGAGCATCTGTTGATGGCACTTTATGGGGATTCAATTGTAGGTCGTACTGTTTCCGTCTTTTTCTGCCTTTCGTCTAAACGGAGCACAGAGGCGGTGTTTTCTACCACTATTTTCATCGCTGCGAACTGTAAAGATGTCACAAATGGTTGTAACTGTGACTCGCTCCGCTGCGCCGCTGTTTCTCTGTGACTTGTTTCACACTCTGTACTGAATTGAACACAAATCCATGGAACTCAGGAAGAAAAATGAAACGTTCTTTAGAAACTCACGAAGACGTGTCAAACCTTTTATTGAACAAATTCACCTCTTTCCACATTAGCACCGACGCTTGTAATAATTTAAAAAGTAAAACGTCTTTTGTCAAAAGAACATTTAATCTTCTCTGGTAAAAATTGAGCGTCAATAATGTGACCTTTAACTATTTCTGTTCAGGATTCAGGTTTAAGAGTCAAACAAAAACACATTTCTTTATTTATTTACATTTATTTTAGTCCTCTGATACATCAATTAATCTTTCAAAATAATCCACTCCATTTAACAATTACGTAAGTCCATTTTTACAACCAGAACTATTTTCCTAACGCTGAGTTTTTTTCTCCATTTTTAATAAAATCTTGTGTCAGTGACTGTACTTCCGGGAGTATTCACTTTTAACTTTTTTCTAACTTTTAATATCTGTACAAACCTTTATTAACAGTTCATAGGTCTCAGAAAAGGTCAAATCAGACAACAACAAAAAAAACAGAAATAGTGCAAGAATTCATATACTTGTCATTTTGACAACAGGACAAAAAGATTGTGGAGAAGATTAAATTTGCTTTTAAATGACTATAATTGCAAAGCGATGCCATTATTAACAGCATGTTGTTTAACCAACTTAAAAGTAGCTGAGTTAGAAAAACAAAGCTGAATTTCTCCAGTTTGACAGAAAAATCGATGGTCAAAAAACACAAAAAGTTTGAATCTCTGGGTGAGACGCAGCCTGTCGACTCGGCACATCAACTCAAACTCACTTTTTCTTTAAATTCAGGGTTTGGATCAGTAAGATGTAGGTTTAGATTATCAGAGTAACGGGATAGTTGGTTATTTCAGAAAAATACATCCTGATTATCTTCTGTTTTATCCCCTCTCCTGCGTTTCTAACAAAAGGTGAGCGACTGACTAGAAAGTGGCATATTTTTTATATAAACTGCTGTTTTCCATAATTTTCATAAATTTCCAGAAAACATATTCAAGAAACAGTAGCACAACTTCAACACATTTCTACTCAACTCAAGGGAAATAGTAGTAAATTACTGAAGTCAGAGTAAAGAAAGGATTTGGTTCTTCAATATTTAAAATTACATCATAAGATGGTCCAAAATATAAAGTTGAGTTGGTATTTTAAAATGATGATTTTTGTAGTTTTTTAACCAAAAATTAAAAAAATCAGACAAAAGAAAAATAATAAAAAATTTATGACATGTTCACAAAAACAGCAGGTTTGTGTCTGGTGACTTTAGGTTATATAGCAGATAATTGATATTTTGGTTTTTATATTCTAGTCATAAAATCTGACTTGTTCACTTCTACTGAAGAAAAAACAATATTTGTGCTCGGTCCTGTGGATGTAATCACTCTGCGGCTCGTTTGACTGCCGCTAATCCAGGTACGACACATTCTGCTACGCATTAGCGTTCCAATAATCACATAAAAGCCATTTCAGTGGTAGATAATCAACAGGCCCACTGACTGGAACAGTGGAGTTGTGTTTCCAGCCTGCAGGTCGCTCACACACCTCACCAGCAGACAAAGAAAACGTCTTTGACGCCAACAATAAATCACAACCCAATTTAGTTTTTGCTTCTGATCTCAGGCCTTCCAGCGTATTCCAGCCTCACAGCTGCATTTCCTGTCAGAGTGAGGCCTCACCTCGTCCGCTGTGCATCTTCGGTAATAGACTACCTGTCAGCAGTCAGTCAGTGTAATGACATCCACTGCTGTGGCGCGTCCAGCGCTAACATGACGCCTCTCTTCATTTCCTCTCCACCTCGTAAAGTTATGATTACTTTGCTTTGGTGTTTCTCCGCCGACTTTAAATGAGGCTTTTCCTACAAGATGAGGGGGCTGGTTGTGTGTAGAGATGAACAGCTCTGTAAATATAGATTCAGCAACACAAGTTGTTGGCTTGTCCAGATGGAAATTCATATTTGTTTCAATGCATAGAGCTAGGCTAAAAAAATTAAGATTGCCCTCCTTTACCTTTTAAAAATCTAATGGTAGAAGGTTTTTATGCAGTTATTAAAATTTGAGCTTGAGTCCTGCTATTTAAGAAACAAAGATATAAAAAGCAACAGGGAGGGGAGAAAGGAAAGAAGCTCCTCCGAAAGCGACATTATCAGCCGTTTGTTCAATAAAAACTGAACACAAAATGTTCAGCAAAGACGTCGGAGCTACATCTGTGATTGCAGATGTTTTTCACCACGTAGTATTTTGGTCTCTAAATTTCATCTCTGTGCTACAGAGAGGCTTCTAGAGATATGTTGATGTGTTGAACTTGGAAGCGTTGGACGTGTTTTGTGTTTTTGACGTGTTTGGTGTGATTAAAAGTAAAAACAACAAATTGTGAATAAAACCGAAAAGGTCATAGCATCAGTTTGGCAGTGAGTCAGATATTTAAAACAGAAAAGAAATCAATTATTATCGACTGAGATGAAACACTTTTTATTGCAAAATCAAAATAGTTTGTAGACATTTCGATTTTGATGCTTCAATGTCCAAAAAGTTTTTTAGATCATTCACTCAGTGCCTCATTTGATGTTGTTTTGTCTAAATGTGCTGCAGAAATTTGACATTTTCCCCCCAATAAAATCCGACTCTTACCCCTGTGGATTACACGGCTGGTTAAACAGCCACAAATAAACAAGCGGGGGAGGCAGAAAACCTGCTTCTCACCATTGTGCTTCTGCTTGGAAGCCTTAATATAGACATGGATCAATTTAGCTGCTTGTTTTTTTCCCCCCTGATTAATTTTCCAACAGAGTCCAATGTGAAAAAGCATTAAGTCAGCACAGCTTTCAGTGCATCAGAGGAGCGATTTTAGCAAGTGCTGCAGTCCAGAGGTGATTGTCGACACATTTGAGAGAGGATATTTTTACTTTATGAAGTGTAGAAGGTCTGAAGGTGTTAGTTTCTGTTTGTGCAGGAAGGGGCAGCAGCTGGAGCCTTCAGAGAAGTACATTTTCAGCCAGCTGGAGGGCGGACGCAGCATGCTGACCATCCGAAACATCCGGCAGGCCGACGGAGGAACCTTCTCCTGCAAGGCCTCCAACAAGGCCGGCTTCCAGGAGAGAGAGCTTCTGCTCAAAGTGTTCGGTAAGAAAGTTAGAAACCAGTCAAAATCTTTGTCTTCAACATATTTATCACCAATTGAACTGAGATTTTATTAACCAGAAGAGTTGATTGGTTATCCAGAGTGTTAATGAAATAACAAGAACTGGTGTAAACCTTTATATTTGTTGAATCTACATTAAGTGATTTAAAAAGTATAGGAGTTTAAATCACAAACGGCTGCATTATTTATTAATCAACCTCACAGAATAGAGTAATTCTTCTTTTTCCTTTTCTGCTGCATCTCCAGCAAATCCAGATGTAATAGCATTATCCATTACAGTGAGGAGTGTTTTATGTCCATCCATAAAGTTTTATGGTGAGGACGCTCACAATCTTCTTTTATCCTAAAACAGTTTTTCAAAACCGTCAGAGTCCAAACATGGCCGCCAGCCCACTCCACCACCAGCAGCTGCTGGAGAAAAATATCTCATTTATCGCTTCATATTTCGCTCAACTAAAAAAAAAATTCAATTCCTAATGTTATGAACCTGCTGGCTATTTGCTCTGATATTCCTCTCGTGGAAATATGTGGAGAAACGCTTGTTCGTCAAAATGCGCATTTTAATGGGGGAAAGCTAAGCAGCAGGGAGGAGCTCTCCTTTTGACTGCACTGTAGGGAAATGCTGCTGCAAGTTAGTTTTATTACTCCTGACAGCAAAGGCAGAGAGAAAACGGGTCATTTACTGTGAATTAGACGAGATATTTGCAGGTGATTGCGCTTTTTGTTGGCCATCAGAAACCTGACACACCCTACACAGTTAAATTAGTTTTTGAGTTCTCCTCATTCTCATTCCATGTGTCGACGTTAGCGCTGCCGTCTGGGCCCAGAGTTTCTTCTGAAGCAGCCCTTGAGCTGTAAAGAGAGCGTTCTGTCAGTCTTCAGGGATTATTCCAGCTCGTCTTGCTTTCAGGCTCCAGAGTGAAGTGTCTGTAAGAAACAAATCCACACAGTGAGGGAACATCGACATGCACAACACCTCTGGGTTAGAAACGCCAGCAGCGTGGCTTCAGGGACGTCTCAGCTCCCACCTCAACTTGGCCCATGCTGAAAATATTATGCAGATAAAAAAAAATTACATTAGCAACTTGTTAACTTTTTCTTCAGGCTGAGAAAATCACCTGCAGGTTTCGATTGTTTGACTGGGAATGTGATTTATTTCACAACCAACTGAAATAAGACAAGACTTTGTGTTTGATTTTTATTTTGCTAAAGCTACAGTTGTTGTCTTTTGTTCTCAACACCAACAGTCAGCCTAAAACTCAACATTTTACATGCTAACATATTAGCATGCTATCATGCGCAAAACATGTTACAAGATGAAGGAATGATTTTTTAATTTAGACTCAAAAGATTTGACTTCATTTTTCTGTTAGTGATGCACTTCTCTTCACACAGGTAGCTGTGATTCTTATATTTATGTCCACTGGACTCAATTAGGAGTAAAATACAGAAAGGAAGATGCACTACGGTTGAGTTTCAGGATGAATTACAAAGGATCTGAATATTAAATGCACCGCTAGGATTTATTTTCTTCCTCCAGCAGCAATCAGGAGAAATTCATCATAGCGGCTTGGGAGATTTATCTCTGCAGACAAAATCTGAGTGTTCTGCCACTTTTTCTCTTACGGTTTCGCCAGTGACGCGTGAAATACAATATCTGGTTTTCACATCACGACATTGTTCTCGCTTCTTTTTTTTCCTAATGAGTGGAAACATGACACACAATCCAAGGATCCGCATAAGAAAAAGAGCAAGGAAAGTAAACAGCATCGGTTTTCAGCGGTTTTAAATAAACCGAAAAATGTAGATGATGTAGCAGAACAGGCCCAGCGGTGGCTTTTATCATTAAAGCCTGGTAGCTATTAGCAGTGGATCCAGGAGGGAGAATCTGTGCTGACATTTGTTTTATGGATCTGCTCGGCTAAAACAACAAATAACACGCATTAGGCCAATCCGATGCAGCGAGTTGAACATTTTTGCTTCCTGACGCCTGTCTGTGGGTGGGATAAGAGCTTTATGTAACATCAAAACTTCCAACAGAGACGGCAAAAATAAAACTCATCTGAAAATAGGAGCTTTTTCCAGCTTTAATTGTGCAATTTTAAACACTCAAACTGTGTGTTTATGTTGCTTTCTTGTGACTTACATCACACATATGATAATGAAATGCTTGGCGTCTAACTGATATAATAAACTGTAATGATAGTGATAAAGAGAGTCGTGATCGAACGACGTTTTCAACACTTTTTTCTGCTTCATGTCAGAAGATGGAAGCAAAAACATGCAATGAAAGGAGAGCAGTTTGTTAATCGATCAAATTTAATGGCCGACTTCAACTGTTTCTGCTTTTTTTTCCATTTAATGCATTTTATGTTTCAGTAACAACCAGAGATTCAGACACACTGGCCTTTAAAAGGTTAAAATCTATTAAATACTGAAGATAAATGTTTTTGATTAAAGTAGAATCTACAAGCTTTAAAGTAGAAAGAAAAATTTTATATTTTTATCAGACAAAATTGAAATTATTTCAGTCAAGCTGAAGATTTTAGACTGTAGTGTTTATTTATTTTATTTGCATTGATGAATCTGAACGACACCTTCAGGATTTATCTAATCAGTCAAGTTCAATAATAAAACACTTTTGTTTTATTATAAAAAATTATTTATCTTAAAACAAAATCAAGTGAGATTTAAAAACATGAACGAATCTCTAGAAGAAAAAATTTTCTGTGGAAAAATTATGCATAAAAACAAAGAAAGTGAAGTTGGATAAGTTGAAGAGACGGAGACGAAAGATGTTGAAAAAATGGGAAAACGTCAGTTTAATGTCAAAAAACATAATTAAAATGCAAAATTACTAAGAAAGGCTGCTTAAATAGGGTGTAGTAACCTAAACTCTCCACATGAGGGCGATGCAGCAAAACAGAGGAACAAAAAGTGCAAAAACAAACAAAACAAATTCATATTTAGCACAAACAATTATCTACTAATGTCAAAAAAGTTTCGCCTTCATTCTTTGTAAAAGATCTAAAATGTCTTCCACAGATGCAGAAACTATTCATTCTGGTGTCTTTTGTTTGTTTAACTTTGTAATTTCCTGGTTTTTGTCATGGAAACACCTTAAACCAACTTGATTTGTTTGACTTTGTAACCAAAATTCTTTTCTATAATCCAGCAGAAACAACCAAAACTTTGAAGGTCGTTTAATTCTCGACCCTTCTCATCAAAATGCATCTCAGCTCTCCCTCATTTAGACCTGAAATATTGCAGATAATTCTTTATTAATAACTTTCCCAGCAGAGGGATCTTGATGAATGGGACGTTTTCAGTGTAATGTTTTCACAATGAGGGAAATCTGAGGCTGAAAATGAAGCGCTCCCTCTCTACATCGGCCATTCAGACCTTTCACTGTGTGTGTTTTGTGTGTTTCTCAGAGCTGTGAAAGTTTTAAAAGCTTTTAGAAAGTGTAATAGATGTGGCCAATCATCCTGAGTGCTCCACCCGTCTCCCTCTTAGCAGAAATCATCCCAGCAGCCATTTGGTCTCATTATGAACCTTAAACTGAGTCGGTCAATTGTTTAAGGTAATTTTGACTTGTTTTCTCCGTGATCTTTTGTCGTTGGATAAAAATAGCTCTAAATCAGGCTTGTGCTGTTATTTGAAAACGGATACTTGATGTTGAATGAGCTCCAAATTATTCTGATTTGGCTTTAAAGAGTGAAATTAAGGAAAATGTCCCAGTTGCCAAGCAGATCTAAAAAAATATGAATACTATGAAAAGTTCATAGAAATATATTTGCAGCCTTTAATTCTTCATGAAATATGATATTACACTTCTGAAAAGCATTGTAAATGACTAGGATTGTTGTAAACAAGTGTTTTTGTAATCGAGCATTCTATCAATTATTCTTGTGAGTAATCGGATAAAAAAATTATAAAATAAAATATTGGTAAATCTAACTTAACAGACAACAGCTCTATCATCATAATGTCCTCCACCAGCCATTTGTTGTGATGCAGATGGTGGTGCGTTTGTTTTCCGGTTCGTCTGTAAAGCTACACTTAATCATCTGCAGCGCAGACACCCGCCGCGCACTTCACCACTGTTCACTATGAACAGCAGGCAGCAGCTCCACACTTAAAAATTGGAAGTTATGCTGCTAACACTTAGCTTTCGTCACTGCACAACAGAAATAATCACAAAAAGGTGTGCTAAATAATAAAACATCATTTAATGAAGGATAAACATTCCACAAGAAATTTGATTAACTGAGAATTGAATTGTCCCAGGAATCTTTACAGCCCTATCAAAGATTAGCATTTACAATATAGTTCAAATGTTTCCAAAATTTCAGCGTTTTTAGGGACATATGGCTTCAGTTCTAGGAGAATTTTTGTTTTGTTTCTGTAAACTCAAACTTTTCCATCATTTCCATCCATTGAGAAATGCATCTTTTTGTTTTGGAGAAGAAACTTTTTCTTTTGTTGGAAATAGAAACACTTCTCCACTGCCAGATGGCAGCAGCGTAAAAACGTAGTTTCTGTGCAGCTGTTTTAATCCTGCTGCAGAAAACTACTGTTTAATCCTGCTGCAGGTTTTCATTTTCTAATTAAAAGTGTCCAACTTGGCTCTGGAGTTCACCCTCAATGTTCACAAACCATTGAGGGTTCAAACGCTGGATATGGCTGCATCTTTTCTAACTTACTTCCTTCAGTAGCATTAGCAACATTAGCAACTCCTCCTCTAATTCTGTCTGGATTCTTCCTTTTTGAAGAATTTGAATTTTATTCCAATTCAGTAACAAACTTAGTTTTTAGGCATAATTCATGGAGGTTTTATAAATACAAATGTTTCATCTTTGCATGGCATTAAAGCCAATATTACATTATTTTAATTGCAATTATTTCTTAATAATTAAGTCCAAGTTATTCCACTTCCAGGTGATTTAATAAGAACTGATGGATCAATACTTTCTCTCCTCCACCGTCTCAGGCTGGTATTTACCCACAAACCTGTTTCCGTCCATTGATCTGTTTACTGAAGGTGCTGAGAGGTAAAATAATACAGGTGTGTGTTGATGTGTGTTGATGTGTGTTGATGTGTGTGTGTGTGTGTGACCCTCGTGTTTTGACAAGCTCTCCAAATCCCCAGTGGTAGCTAGCATGCTAACAGGTGAAACTCTCCGCCTCCTCGCGCCGCTAAAAGCCTTCAACTCACTGTTTCCTGTTCACTTCCTCGTTTCCTTTCGGATTTGATTCCACGCTACGTCTTCGCCGTCTGCTGAGGATTTACATGGAGAGAGTAATCCATGATTCATGTAGCGTGTGCTGCGCCCTGACATGCTCAGGGCTTGCTTAGTGCACCTTATCAGGTGGAAGCGAGGAGGGACCGGCCCTCAGTGGCTTTGCAGCACTTATCTGCTCTTAGTGCATCAAAAGCAAATCACACGGTGTTGGAGAGGAGTCTTCCAGACAAAAATCTATATTTATTCAAAGAAACGCAGAGGTTTGTGCCTCAAAACTTCACCAAAGTCGCTTTTCTGTTGCTGTTGAATCAATGCAAAAAGGGACAAGAGGCCAACCTACCCCACTACATCAAAGCTGTGAGGTGTGACTGCGGTGAACAAATGATCTTGGCCCATATCGTCAGAGCAAAGTCATGCATCAGCTCCGTGTAAAACCCCACGGTATCGCCTTCGTCTACTCTACTTTACGAGTTGCAGCACATACTTGACAGTTTCACTCCTGCTTCCTCTGTCCTTCCTCTCTGCTCTTTCTTCTCTAAATTTATCTTCGTCTCTCCTCCGGCCGCCCGCAGTCCAGCCCCACATCACCCAGCTGAAGAACGTGACAGCCGTGGAGGGCAGCGCCGCCATGATCTCCTGCGTGGCCGAGGGCGAGCCTCTGCCTGACATCTCCTGGAGGAGCCAGCGACGGGCAGAACCTTCGTGGACGGAGACAAGGTAGACGCTGCCAGAAAGTCCATCTGGCTTCCTGTGTGTGTGTGTGTGTGTGTGTGTGTGTGTGTGTGTGTGTGTGTGTGTGTGTGTGTGTGTGTGTGTGTGCCGTTTGCTACGTCACACACCAAGCGGTCGACTTTAAGTTGTGTAAAACAAATGGGGCGTAACTTAGAAGGGGTGAGGAGGAAGTTGGCCAATTTTCCACACTAGAAAATTTTACGATCTTGCAATTTTTAATTCAAATGTACCAAAACAAATATTCTACGTGATGCTATTACATGGTTTCAGTTAACATTTTAAAAACTACAACCTTGTAAGTATAACTAAACATTAAATCCACCAAGCAAAGTGGGCGCCAAGAGACACTAAGGGGCGTGGCCACTGAGGGGGGTAAAATGGTGCAAACTTTCCAGACACTTCTATTGAATTTATCAAAAAAACAACTAATGGCAAGTTAGAAACTATTTCTTTTGCTTGGTTGGAGACTTTGAGTGCAAAAATGCTTTCTTTTTTACACAAAATAATGCAGAACTCAAGAATTAACAGAAAAAATGTTAAAATTCACACAACATGGAGAGAACTGTAAAAAACTATTTATCAGGCGTTTGTATCCATTTGCACTGATTCCTTCCTGATCAGTTTTATGGTTGGACATGATTTCAGAAAGTTTGATCTGATTTAACTTCATAAAATGTTAGATTTCTGGTCTCAGCTGTGCATTTATGTGGGTTTACGTTTGGTTGGAAAGTTGACTTTTTTAATCCCATCTCCATGTTTTAGGTCATTTTGCGGCTTGCAGAGGTTATTCTGGGGTCAAACGGGTATAATTTAAGGAGCAGCAGACACAAATAGACGGCTGTCTTTCCATGCGTTTATAAATGTTTAAAAGGCTCAAAGACATAACTTATGCGCGTTCACCCTGCGCTCATACCTGCTGAGTTTATGGTCTCACAGGAAATCAGCTCGCACTTTTATTTTGTTTCGCTCCAGGCTAAAAGAAGCACCAAGGACCTTGAAGTTCTCAAGGTAAATGCTTCGGGTTTCACTTTGTTTGGTGTTTTTCTTTCACCTAACAAGGCTTGTGTGATGCACCCTCAAAAAGTCTGGCTCTGGATTTGACTCAAGTATTTATTTTTCACCAACGTACTGTCAGTGTTGGCATCGGACTGAGGTTTCCACAGAAGAACAATAAGAACCAAACAAAGGAGCCAGACGATCTTTTGCTGGGAAAAAGGTCACGGCGGAGATAAATGAACGTGTGCGTTGGCTCGAATCGCTCGGCTTGATAAATCACAGCCGAAAATGAGAGTAAGTGCTTCTCTCCCCCCACTGCAAATGCAATTATGGAAATGCGCGGAGCAAACCAACACACCTAAACATGCGCAAAGACAAACATGAGTGGAGCGGCGCCCGGGCGTGATGGATGGCAGCAGTCATTTGGGTTTAAGGCAGAATGCTCCCTCTCTCAATTTGCTCTCCAATCTGCATATCCAGGCTGCTTTCGCTCTCCTGCTGAGCGTCTTGCACGAGAGGCTTAGTTTACTCTCTACATAATGTTGCTTGCTTCGTCTCTTTCTTTCCCTGCTAACACCATGACCCTCGGAAAGAGAGCATAATGGGAGGCAGTTTGTAGGATTTAATTAGGTGCTGAAGGAGGATTTGAGTTGGTGTATTGTTTTCATTACTTGGTGTTGTGAGGTAAAGCTTTTATTTATTCCTAACATCCCAGTATAAGGAGCTTCTGACGGCGATTAAAACTGAGTTTTGATGGACGTTTCTGCGAAGACTTGGGAGCTTTTCTGGAATCACTGAGTCACTTTGTCCATAAATAATACGCCATAAATAGACAGTTATGCTGAAAAAGAGAGCGAGTGACTCAGACGCAGCCAGCAAGATGCTTTTTTTAAAATGCCACTGATTACCTTTAAGACTGTGAGTGAAATGTCCTGGTAGCATAGTTCTTTCACAATAAAACGTCCACATTCAGATGTTTCTATGACTCTACTTGGCTAAAACGACGACGGCTTAAAGAGAAACGGGAAAGAATATTAGCTTGGAAAAATGTAACTGAACATATTAATGATTACTCTGCAAAACTTTCCATTGAAAGCAAAAAAATTGACAGTAATAAATAAATGTTTGTTTTGTTTTGCTGCTTTTACATTTTCAATTCTCTTTCAATGGTTTCGTTTCTTTTTCTGCTGTGTTTGGCGCCACCTTTTGGATTGGAGTCAAAGCAAGCAACAAAACTGGGATAAAACAAACTCCTCCAATGGACATTTATGGTTGATGTAATTAATATTAGCTTAGATTAAATTAGGTTATTTTTTAAAGCATCACGTTACTCATGAATCGTTTTAGAAAAATAGTAGAACAATTTTTTTAAGTTTCTTTCTATGAATGCTAGTCTAACAATGACTTGGTTTAGCTGTTAAGTTGTCAAAATGATGCGTTAAATCATAAATCTATGCATGATATATAAAAGAAAAAGGGACACAGAGCTTTGCTACTAATTCAGTATATGACAACTAGATACAAGGTCAGGAAATAGTTTTAATTAAGAGGAAAAAACTGTGAGAGAGAGGGAAGTAGCTCAGTTATGCTAGCTTGACTTTGAAAACCTCAACATGTAGACATGTTTCAGTTCACTCACACATCAGCTCTGGCAGGTCATCAGTAGAGCAGGTGTTCAAATTAGCTAATCAACCACCCCATTGTTAGCTTAGCTGATAGCAGCGGTGGCTAAGCTACTACCGCTATCACTCATTAAATAAACATCAGGAGCTGTAACGGACCGAATGTTCTGTTCTTTGTGTGGAAAATGTTTGTGTGTATTTTCCTCTAGCATTGTGACATAAACGATGACATAGAGAGAGTCATGGAACGATCCACTACAGTTTCATTAATGTTTTAACTAGTTCAATAAATAATACTTTTTTATTTTTTTTTTCTGAGGAACATTTTAGTTCTCGTCTATTTTTGGAGAATTGTTTTATTAAACGATCATCTTGTTGGCTTCTTTCTGGGTGCAGCTTCCTCCTTTTCTCTACAAGTAGTTGAACAAAATTGAGTGAAACTTTTGCTCCTTTATTATCTTCATCATAATAAAAGCGTAGCCTTGGAGGAGCAGTCGCAGATGCTACTGTTTGTTCTTCGATTTCCAGATAATTGAAATGTTTAGCCACCGACTGGCTTTGTTTCACTTTGAACCCGTCTCTCTGGCCTCCATTTCCTTGAAGCAGAAAAGCCATTATTAATGTCATTTTGTTGCCTCGGTGAGGTCGAGGTGGCACAGGACTCATAAAAACCAGACGGACGCCGCAGACCTGATGCTCAGCCCCGCCACAGAGCGGCAGAGTCACACCGGCCTCACTGACATTTACCACTGACATTTTTAATAACTAAACCTAAAATAACACAGTAAAAGTCTACAAAGTCTATTTAAGAGTTTGTGTGCTTCATGCAAACGCGGACAGATATTGGTGCTTCCTGTTCCTGTTGCTACATGTGGCTCTCTGTTCACGTTTGGCCAGGTGACTGAGCTGCATATCAAGCAGGCCGAGCTTCAGGGCGCGGGTTTGTCTCCACACACAGGCCCTGTCAGTAGCCGAGTAATTTCCTGACTCAGAAGATTTCCTCTTCCTCTTTCTTTCTCTCTCTCTGCTGCCTCATCCTCAGCATCCTCATTCAGCGCCACTCGCCAGGCAAACAAGCGAAGTCGCAAAGCGACCAGAGCCGAGCCTTTAAGCGGCGCTCCACCTCGTTAGCTGAGAGCTTTGTGACGACAAAACGAAAGCCGTTCCAAACAGGATCAGGCCGGAGTCTGGAGCAGGAGAGGAGCGTTTGGGTCGGGGGCGACAGGAGGCATCACAAAGAGACAACTGTGTGTTGATTTATGGGGATTCAGAGGGAGAGCGTGTGCAGGAATACAGCGGCCTCAATATGCAAATGTACACAAGGATGGGAATACAGATGGAGGCAAACAGTAACTGTGAAAGCTGCTGGCAGAGAGGAGAAATGTTTAAAAACTACAATTACAGACCAGATTTAGATAATCTGTGCAACATTTCTAGAAGACAAGAACCTCACTTTGAATTGGAGCTCAACAATATCACAAATAAAATAGAAATATGTGCAAAAGCATCCACACTGTACATATTCAAGTAACAACAGATAAATAGTTTTTGTTGCTTTATTTTATAGATCCCTATAATAAAATCTTAACACCAATATTGTCTATTACTTATATTTTGCAATATTTGTCATTGTGTTCGATATTATCTGTTGAAGTAAAGTTAAAAAGAGAGAAAAAAAAATCAAAACTTTATTTAAGTTTGAATACATTTTAAATATAATACATTTTAAGTTTATTTTGCGTAAAAGAAGCAACAGTAGCATTTTATCTTACATTGAGAGCAGATAAAAAACACACACACAGCTTTGGTTGCGAAACTTAAAAGTAAAAAATATTAAGGTCTCTTTGTTTACCTAATACTCAGTCAGGCTGACAGCAACAGGTGAGGGAGGGGAAACCCTGCAAATTCACAATCTGATGTTGTTTATTTTGTAAAAAGAAATAAACCATTGATGTTTGTTAACAGACAAGTTTTCTAAAGCTTTTTAATCAGATGGGATAAGAGACAGGAAGACAATCATTTCTCTCTGATTAAATTGAAGCTACAAAATAAAAGCTCAGTGGGGGGTAGAGTTTGTTTGGTTTCTGATTTGAGTCTTTAATCAATTTTCTCACCACACTATCCTTTATGTTGAACTTCCTGATGAATAAATGTACTTTTATCTGTTTCGTTTAACAGTTTCCATTATATGCCTCCTGGGGTCATGAGGTCATCTGATGGAAAGCGTCTAGCCTGGATGCTTCAGGGTGTTTTGGTCTCATTCTCGGACGGCCGCACTGATAGCCTTGTCTGCTGTAATTGACCCGTTGCTTCAAATTGTTGCCATCTGTCTTCATACGATGTAATGACCTTGTAACGTATCGGCGGTTTATTGGATTAGCCTCAACACGGTGTGACACCAGACTGCAGCCTGCGAAGGGGAAACACTGGGCTCATTCTCAGGGCTGGAAAATGAATATTTCTTAGCTTTTCTCAGTACTTCCTGTCGCTTGGTGTATTCATAGGAGCTGTGTGTTTGTTTTCCAGAGTCGGGACGGGCGGTTCGAGGTCCGCGGCCGTCACGGTAAATCCGTGCTGACCATCAGCGGGGTGCGGCTCAGCGACCTCGGCCGCTTCGACTGCGAGGCTCAGAGCCGGATAGGAGGCCATCAGAAGAGCATGTTTCTGGACATTGAGTGTAAGTTCAATTCCAATTAACTGGAAACTTTAAGATTTTAATGAGCTAGCTTCCTGTCACAGCTAGCTGTGCTACAAAGCTAACGCTAATGTTTACATAACAGTATATTTTAGTATTTTGTAAAACTGTAGTAAAATGTATCATAAATAAGAAGTTTTGTTGTTGCCTTGAAGCTTTGATTAATTTTTTGTATTTTTACAAATTTGTTAAAATTATCAACATCTACTTTTTCTCTGAACTGCTGTTGCTATCGAAAGAAAGGCACCAATCCCAAACAAAAACAACCAATCAGAGCCAGGAGGCGGGGCACAGCGCTGTTAGTCACTCTTGTGTACGCGCTACTAAACATGCAAACAATGGAGAAACAGTATAGTGTAACAGGAAAACAATTATGTCATCGGGTGCTATGCTAATTACCTCAGCTTTCATGGTGAACTATCAAAGAGAAAGCTGAGGACATGAGGATGATTGACAACACTAAGACCCGCCTCCAGCCTCTGATTGGTTGCTTTAATTAGAACTGGGAGAAGACAGAAGAGCTTGAATTATTGTCATCACATCCTGATAGTTTAACAAATATGTAAAATAAATATTTTTATCTATAAGTTTATACCGCAACTTAATATCTCTGCCACCACCAGGTGGAGCTGTGGCGCTGGCAGATCTCCTTTTCCATGATAAAACTATATTTTTATGAATTTCTCAGCCGTTTCATGTTTACAGAAAGACTTTTCTAGAAACTTCTTGCGGTTCTAGATTTAAAATAATTTGCAGACAGATATTGGGTGCATTTTTTCTTAAAGAAAAATAAATTAAACAGGAACATTTTTTCACACCCTAAAATGTGTTATTTTCAGATTTTGGTGCAAATCTATCGCTCCACTTCATTTTGAAATTTTGTCAAATTCAGTGAGACTGATTTGTGTTTAAGTCTAGACTTTGTCTAGACCAAAACAAACCACTATTTAGTATGCTTTATTCTCTAACCTTCCCACACTCAATCGTCTGTATTTGATTTTTATTTAGATATAAGATTTTTTTCCAGACTTGAATTGTGTGAAATTTTTCATTATTTACCAATAAAACAAACTGGCGTCAAATATTTACACTGTCAAGGTTATTGCAGAGGTGAAAAGTTGACAGTTTCCTGTGGAAACCAGCTGGTTGTCTTGTTAAAAAAGAGGAAATGATTACCAGCAGCTCCTCCCTGCAGTCGTATCGTCTCTGAAGAGTGATAATTAATGAAAAGACCGGATTCCTCCTGCTGACGGCTTCCTCTCCTCGTCGTGTCGTGTTTGGGGTTATTTGGGGCAGCCTGCCTCTCCCCTGCTTAATGAGCTCTGCAGCAAAGATCTTCATCTCGGCTTTGGAGAGATTGGCTTCATTACGAGATGCTTTAACTATACCAGCACAGCAGATTGAGCCGTCAGATAAATTGACATTTTCGGAAAAGAAATCCCTTGAAAGTTGGTGAGGGAGAAACACACACATGTTCATCCCCCGTCTGGATGGGGGAAGTTGCTGCTGTTCTACTGTAAACATGTTTCAGACGGAGAGTCTAACGAACTCATTTACTAAGTCACAGTGAGGCGATGGCACGTCCTCGGCTGTGACAGGGAGCCGCGCATCAATCTCTCTAATGGCGTCCTGCAAGGGAGCATAAAACAAGCATAATGTGTGTCTGAGTGAGCCGGGCAGCCGGGGCAGGAAACGTCCGAGTCGCAACAACAACGCCCGCCGCCGCAGTCTTTCATTATCGGCCTCTGTTTGCATCCTTCATTCGCCCGCTTGAGGCCGACTCAGACGTTTCTCTCCAGTGGGATTAAATCCAAAGCATTTTCTTCTTCCTGTGCAGAATGTGTGGGTTAAGACGCCTTTGATCATCCATCCCAGCTCCACCTTTGATTTCAGTGTTTAATTAGCTGCCATGAACGCTCAACACACCAGCAGTTTACCGCTTTTCTCTTTCGCTTAAAGCGGCACAGTGTAACTTTTATAAAAAAATATGTTTTTTACGTATTTGGTAAAAGTGTCACCGTGTTGTCACAATTTACTGTGAGACAGATAAACACTGAAAAGATTGATCTCCTTCACCTCTTCTTTCACCTGTTATTGCCTTCTGAACAAACCAACCAATCAGAGCCAGGAGGCGGGGCGTATCGCTGTCAATCATCCTTGTGCTCACTTACTGTTACAGGAAAACTGTTTGTCCTCCAATCATCACTGAACAAGCTAACTATGCTGAGCATTCACAACAGGTTAGGCTAGCTCTAGCATAGACTAGTGCCACACAGAGAATGATTGACAGCACTAAGACCCGCCTCCTGGCTCTGATTGGTTGCTACAAGGCAGGAGAGCAACATTTTTCACAGATTATCTCTCGTATCAAACTGAGCTTCAACAAAGAAGTGAAGAAATATTTTTTCTTAAAGTTACAAACAGCAGCTTTAACTTTTTTTTCTCAGATATTCCTAAATTCCTGACCAACCACACCATCTATTACTCGTGGGAGGGGAACCCGGTGAACATCAGCTGCGACGTGATGTCCAACCCGCCCGCCACCATGCTGTGGAGGAGGGAACGCTTCACCATCTCAGAGGGAACGCCGCACATGCAGATCTACGGCACTGACGGGAGGTCGGTGCTGGAGGTACGGAGGCTGCGAGGGGTCAATCCTCATCTCCTGCATTTATTTATCTACATTTGACTTCACAAAATATGTCACACGACATCGTTTGAAGCTGATTTTAAATCTGAACTTTGACTAGACCACTCCAAAATGTTATTTTTAGCCATTCAGAGGTGGAGTTGTTCTAAAATGTTCTGCTTGCTTTTTTTTCAGGTGACTCCGATGTCGGACCGAGACTTTGGCCGGTATAACTGCACGGCCCGGAACAACATCGGAGTCCGGTACCAGGAGTTCATCCTGGCCCAGGCAGGTGAGAGAAAGAAAGAAAGACATTTTTATAAATTTATACATCTATGTTTAATATTTTCTTTCCTGGTGTGAGTCTATTTCCTGTCACTTTGCTGCTGTTGCTGAAAATTCAATACATTTCTTTTCCTTCTTTCCTTTCCTCCCATATCAGATGTTATTTTTCTTTCTTCCCTCTGTTGTTTCTAAACCCAGTTTCTGGTGCTTCCTTGTTTTCTCGCAGACGTCCCCTCCAACCCGTACTCCGTCCGTCTGTCGGCCGTTTCCCAGCGGCTGGCCACCGTCACCTTCATGAAGCCGGACTCTCACGGCGGCGTTCCCATCAGCTTCTACCTGGTCCAGTACAAAGAGCTGGGCTCCATAGACTGGAGGGATGTGAAGTCGCACAGCGTGCAGAGTGAGTTTCTTCCTGTACCATAAGAGGCCAAAGGTGCGGCTCAGGGGCCATTTGTAGGCCTCGTGATAATTAAATACGGCCTTAATGAAGAACGAGAAAACATGTACATTTTTTGTGTTTCTTTGGATGTTTTAAATTAAAAAGGAATATCTTCTTAAATAGAAATGCTAGCTTACTGCTTTTGGAGACTCATTATATGCTGTTACTGTTACTGTGGGCCCACAGCATGACAGACCCTCCTTCGTACCTCAAAGTGGTTACCGGCTGGAATTTGTTTACAGCGTTAGTCTAAACAAAAACAGAACAGAAAAGGTTTTTTCTCAATCATTTCAGCCATTTTTGAAATATATGTTGCATTGTTTTTCCCATTTTGAAGAGAAATATCCGACTGTCTATAGTCATGTTTACATCCCTGAAGGAAACTGATCCGTTTGCTCTCACAGAGTCAAAACACCTGATTGACTTCATCCTCACCTGTCAGAGAGAGAAACTGTAAACCGACATTCAAGATGAACCTGTAATGTCCTTGTTGACGCCTCAACATCGGCCCAGTTCAGACATAATTACACGATCGGTCACAGGATCCTTCAAAGCTTTGGCCCTGGGATGTTGTCGGCCCCTGACGACGCTCCAAACACCTGGCGGCGCTCCGCTTTCAGGACCGGTCCGGCCTGAACGCGCTCCCTTCTCCTCTTCCTGTGCTTTACGACTCCAAATTGATTTGTGAACCTTGTCGGGAAGTGCAGCGCGCTGACGGACGGGTGGATGGAAAATGAAAGCCAGGGGATGAATGGCCGGCTGATAAGCAGCTCCAACAAACCTGAAGGGCTTATCGCTAATATCCCTCATTTCAGAGTCAATTACAGTTTGCAGATTTACTGAGGAAAAAACCAACCAGGATGTTGAAATGAAGGGAAAAATTCACAATTACAAATGAATCTAATTTGGATTATTTCAACAGAATTTGATCTAAAACGCAGAAAAGTGAGCAAAGCTAATTACATAATGCTAAGTGTCTCCATATTTAATCACTGACTTCAGCGCTGAAGTTTCCCTCAGTAAACTGCATCATAATGAGGCCTGGACTCGTTTCAGCGCCGGCGATGGAACCAGAACGCTGATGCAAAATTCTAAACGTTTGTTTTCCTCTCCAGGACTGAAAAAGCACCTAAATAGCAGCAGAGGATTTAATTTGTTCACACTCACAAAAACAACAACTTTCACGCTCCTTCTGCTGGCTGATAGAATGAAATCTGTAAGATTTAAATAGGAATTTAATCCAGATTAAATTGGATTAATAACCAGGCTGGAGGTGTTCAACCTTTGTAACGTTAAGGACAAAAAGGGCACAAGAGGTGCAAATTCACAAAATCATACAAAGTATTTCTTTCAAGTTTTTAGGACAAATATCTCATTACACTTGAAATCAGACAAAATTTATTTACAAGTAGCTTTACAATAAGATGAAGGAGTTTGTTTTAAGTAAATGATTTTATAACCAGTAGCAGTTTACACAAAAACTACCAATTTCTAATAAAAAATCCAAACCTCTTTATATTTCTGCGTTTCCTTAGAAGCCTCCTGTTTTTTTGGGGGGTTTTTCTGCAAACGGATAAAGTGAGCTGTGGTTTTGTCTCTCTGCAGCCACCGTAGTTCTGACCGGCCTGGAGCCCAACACGACGTACGAGGTGCGAGTCGCAGCCGTGAACGGGAAAGGTCAGGGAGAGTTCAGCCACACGGAGACCTTCCAGACTTTACCTATCCGTAAGTCGGTAACCTCTGACCTCCAAACTGAGAGCATGTTGACTTTAATCAATTTAACGGCTTTCTAACAGGGAGTTAATTTTGAGTCGTCGACACCCTCAGCAGATCAGGCTTTCAGCTAAAACAGCCAAATTCAGCAGGAATATGGAAACGTTTTGGTTCTGATTTAATACAAATACTGGATGTGTGACAGAAATGCATTACATGCCTCCAGAATCTATTCAGAGCATCAGCAACTCTGCAGAATGAGGCCTATTTGCCACATTACACAACCAGGGTGTATTTATATTGGAGAGGGCCTCAACCTCCCCGACTTCCACAGATATGAATTTAGATTATCAGAACCTGGAATGGATTCTGTCAGATTCTCCTCGTCTGCAGGGAATTTCACCGTAAGCGTTTTATTTATCCACCAACCGTCTGGGAGAACAGCGCCGCCGCTGCTGAGGTGCAATAGAAGAGCAAAATGATGAAGATGTGGCGCTGTCTTCCTCAGGAGAACCGAGTCGCCGGCGGTCCACGGCCAGAGGGGCGTGGGGAAGGCCTACAGGCTGGGGCTGGTCAAGCAGGACGACGGCGGGATGCCCATCGTGGAATATATCGTCAAATACAAAACAGTGAGACAAAAACCTTTTACAAATTTATTCCAAAATCCTGCTGGGTTTTTTGAGAAGGGGGAAATAATCTACTGCAACTTTTGTCATTTGTTGTTATGTTGTTATTGGTATTGGTATGTATTTTATGGAGTGTTTTAATTAATCTTTGAATATTAATTATGGTTCAGATTTTTTCATTTTCTATTATTTCAAATTGAAATTCAAAAATACTTAAGGTCATAAAAACAGTCATCATTTCTGAAACAAACAATAAACATTACAATTTATTAGTTGGGAGAGGAAATTAAAATGTTTTTTACTAGAATCCAGTGAGTGAAAGAAACAAAGTTTGCTCCGTTTCTGTCAGGATAAATAACTTTGTGTTGCTCTTTTACCCCGGGTTTACGTTTTGAATTATTATTCATGAGCGGCTCTGATTACGGAGCAGCTCCGTTTAGCAGACAGAATAAATGTTTCACATTTATCACTCCTGTTTTTGACGTGGAGCACAAAGAGAGCGAAACACAACAGGCGCGGTTTGGAAATCAAGCGTTCATTAAATTTACATGAGGCCATTCAGTTTGCACAAGGCGTGCTCTTACATTTTCTAAAAAGTAACTGGCGCTGATGGAGTTTTTTTATATTTGACATAATAATCCCTTGCACATCATGCGAGCTGGATTGATTTGCTGCTGGGTTGAGTTGGTTCCTTAAATGAATAATGTTCTGCTGGCAGATCTCTGCTTTTCACATCTTGTTTCGCTTACAAACCGTCTCTCTGGATTTGCTCGACTATTTTAATGGTGGTTCAGGTTAAATGTAGGACGTGAGGATTAAAGAGGCCACAAAATAAAGCTGTGGTGTTTTTCATAGAATGGAGGAACACCAAAATAATCCATTAATGTGGAATATAAAGAAAAAGAAAGATGAGTTTCAACAATTTTTACAAATAAAAATCTAAAATAAAAACTCCTGAGACCTAAATATTATTTATTCCTCTTTTCTTTTTTCATTTCTTTGATTCCACGCGTTCTCTCAGCCTCTAGAATAGAGTCCCTGTGACCTGACCAAGATGGCCGCCATCTCAAAGCAGCGTTTATTAAAAAGAGGAAAGCAAACCTAATGTGAAGTCAAGTAATTAAAGACAACTCATAAAACAGAGTGTCTTCAGTCAGAGGCATCTTTAGAGGTGCTGTAACACAAACTGGTACAGGAGATCCTTTAATTTATTTTTGGGAATTATAAAAAAATGTCAGTTTGAATAATCACATGTGATTTTAAATGTATTATTTAATAAGTTCATATTTTAGCAACATATTTCAGTATTTTCTGTGCTAAGATTATTTGTTTTTATTGTCTAAACTGTATTTATTTATGAATTTACTCTTTGTGTTTGTGTCACTTTTTAAACAGGCAGCTCAAGGGCAGAAGCTTGAAATGATTCTTAGAAAAATAAGAAAAAATACAAAAGTCTGTGAAGTATTCAGGTTCATAATTTGTGTAAAAGAAAGGGATTTAAATATAGATAAAAGAAATGAAGTACAGTAAATATTCTCCTAACCCTGCAACAGAAAATAAATATTCCAGGATATTTAATTGTAAAAAATATTTAAACTGTTTTTTTTTCCTTCCACTTCACAATCAGCGCTGCTGGCTTCCTGCAATAAGCTTGATTTGGTGGGATGGGTTGCCAGGTTGGAACACAAGCGCATTTGGCCAGAGGAGTGAAGGGAGACTGGATTAAAACCCGACCTCTTGTTTATCAAGCTAACAGGCTTTGACCCTGGTTTTTAATTTATTTTTCGATCCCTTTCCTGCAGGATAAAGAGGAACAGTGGATGACCAAGCTGGTTCCAGGAGCTAACGACTTTGCGATGCTGCAGCCGCTGCAGTGGAACACGAGATATGAAGTGGAAATCACAGCCCGCAACGTCAAGGGCCTATCAGAGCCCACCTTCTATCAGTTCTTCATGCCACAGAAGCCCGACATCACAGGTAAAAGCACGATAAACATGGGGCCCCACTAAAAGTCACCTTCTATAAAACACATTCAAAAAGCACTGAAAGAGCACTGTGAAAGCTTCTGTGCTTTTCTTGTGCTGGTAAAGAAAAGAAACAAAACGAACAAAAGAAAAAGAAACATATCTGAGGACTGAAAGCAAGTCTGACAACGCAGCAGAAATGTGACCAGAAAAACCAAATATTTCAGAGTACTTTTCAATAATTTCAAGTGCAAATTTCTCAGTCCACCAGTACGAAGTTACAAGTAACTTTCAGCAAGAGATCGGATACTAGTTAACTTAACAGGTTATCAAAATACGTGTTTGATCTTCATCTTTCTACTTTTAAAATATTCTCCAAAATCCACTTCACAGAATAGCTTCACAGATCATAATATAGCAGCAAAGTCGTCTCATTAACGACCATTTTAATGACCTAATATGATGAATTTTTCCATATTAGTGAAATTTCTATATTTGTTTCTGAACTGGAGGTGAAACCTCATTTTGAAAAGTCCAGTTTTCTTCTTTTTGTGCTTAAAATCATCATTTTTAGCTTTAAGCTTCCTAAAAAGAGACGACCAGAGAGTTATAAGCAGCAGTTTTTTCTTCTTCTTACTTTCCTCTTGATAAATTACTCATTTTGTCTTTATCTGCCATTAAAATCCAGCCAAAGTGTTGTGTTTCAGTTCTGTTTCTGCCTTTTTCCTGGTCTATTTGTGCCGGTTTGGATGCAGCCAGTGTTTGCCTCTGTTGTTACTGCGGCGGCTAAACGGCCCGCCGGCGTGTGGCTCGCTTTTCCGCCAGGAAACAAGAGCTGGGCAGGCGGGTCACTTCGATTGGCTGTCCTCTCTTGTTAGCGAACAGCAGGGAATCGAAGCAGAGAGCCTGGAAAAAACAAAACATTTCCAACATGGTGTAGTCCAACTGGGGTTTAACATTAAGACATCATTCTTCATATTTCCAGCCAAAATCAGTTTATGTTTTATGGAAAAGCGCTGCGGACTCGTCGTTTCCTGCTCCTTCAAATCAGGTTAGACGCTGAAGAACTCTTCAGAATCAATCAGCGATATTAGATGTGAAACATCCGCCACTTCCATTTGAGGTCCAATCTGCTGCCTTGTTTTTATCATCCGCCATGCTGCATAAAGACCCGACTGCAGACCTAATGAAACAAACTGAGTCCACATATATGTGCCCTCTCTATTCAATTCCCTCCTATGTATTATGCATTTATTGTGTATTGAATTGCTTCTTTTCTCACTTCTTCCTCTGTACTATTTCAGTTATAACTGGTCGTGTACTTTTCTTTTGTTTTCTGCTTGTGGAGAAAAATGTGCTGATTGCGAAGCAGCTCTTGATTCCCTTTTCAATTTACTCCTTTTTATTTCAGGTTTCTTTTCCCACCTGATGCAACCGAGTCAATTTGGAGTCAGTAGAAAAGATTTAAAAACAACAGATTTTAAAGCAGAAGTATCCAAGCTTATTACTGAAAAGTTGAGTGGAAGGAAGAAGTGTGGATGAAAATGTTGTATTTAATTGACAGAACAAAGGTTCAGAGAGAAGAAGAGCAAAATTGTCCGCCATCTTTTATTAGGAAAACACAAATTTTCTCTTTTTCACGTCATTTCATGCAAAATTGACTCAACTTGGAAAATATATTAAATTTTTGATTTTATTCTAGGTACATCTTTATGCCATTTTGGATGTTTTGCATCTTTTCAAGAAAATATAGCAATGCTAACACATATAGAGGATCATAATCCCAGAAAACATTCATATCTTGGTGCCTGTCACTATATGATTTTCTAATCTCGAAGCAAATCAAAAGTCTTTTTTGAGCAGCCATCTCTAACTTTAGCTGCATTTAGTGTGAATCAAAGACAGAAGTGATAGAAACATGCAGTGTTAAGTATGGTGTTGGATCTGTGATGCTGTGGGCCTGAAACTGGGTCAAGAGACACTGATTATTGTTTTTTTTTTTCTTATAAATAAATACACAGAAGCATTCATTTCAATCCATTTAGCTTTAAAACTGATCTCAAATGGGAAAAACGGAGAAACCAGAACAAACTGGTCACTTTCACCTCTTCCCTCCAGCTTTAAAAATGCATAAATCTGAAATAAAACCAGGTACTTACATCCAGCTGGAGCCAGCAGAAAATGAAGTAGTTTGATGTTTTCTTGATTCCCCTGCAGCCGGACCCGGTCTGCCGCTGCCCAGCTTTCTTGTGGCTGTTGCATTTATTTCCTGGCTTTATTTTTATTCATTTATTTATTTTTTGCTTCATGCGTCATAAAGAGGCTTTGATTGAAACAGCTGTGATGGATTTTCTTTGTAATAATCTCATCAAAGCACTTGAGGGGGAGAATGATCTTGACAGGCTTTTCTCCTCTTTTCCAAGCTTGAGCAAAACTTTTTATTTATTTTTTTATTGTTGGTATTTTCAGGAAGTAATCCCAGTGAATCAAAACTACAGTCAGAGCTTCCTATTTTAATATTTTAAACTCATATTTTTATTTAGTCGGAGAGGCTTTAACTCCCAGTATGATGTCAATCTATTTCACTTTGTGTTATTTATTATAGCAGGAAAAATGCTCAAACATTTGCCCAACTATTATCAGTTATCCAGTTTTTATTATTATTATTATTATTGTATAAAAATGCATCATGGGAAATTTCACTCCTGTCCTTGCAGGAAGCAGGTTTTACTTCTGTTTAATCTGATGAAACACTCTTTTAATAGATGGTAATTTGTGAGAATAACTTGCTAGATATTGAAAGTTCGAGTTGTTATGAAGAAATGTTTTTGTTTTTTTTGCTCACTGGACATTTGAAGAACTTCATACAGTTGAAATAAGCAAAAATATCCATATGTGCTGTTTGCTAATGTGAATAATTTTAAACCGCAGCATCATTCATTTGAAAGAATACCAACATGAACTTATATGCGTCCCAGAGAGAATCTGTTTCAGTTCTGAAGAAAAATCATTTCTTTTCCGATTAACAACCAGAACGCCAAGATAAAAGCTCCATCTGCGGCTTAACGTGCCTCTAAGCCAGTTCCCCGATTATCAGGCATGTAAATCAAACCGTCTTGAGGGATTCATGCAAACGCAACGACGGGGATTTAACTGTAAACAGAACTGTAATCAAAGACTTCTGTTTGTTTGCTTTGTGTAAAATATGCCGCAGTCAACATAATAATGCCTGTAATGTACTCACTGGTGTACCAGTATGATATAAGATCCCAGCTGATGTGACTTATTTATTCATAGAGCAGATAATCCCACAGCGATCAGAGGATTGGGTTTCTGAGCGCAGCGACAAAGAGACGATATCAATGTCATCCTGAAAAGCAGAGAAATGAGCCAAACACCAAGTTTGATATGCAATAGTACCGACTATCAGCCACAACAAGCAGCTCCAATACGCACAAGGAGAGTCAGTTTACAGCCATTAAGGAGTTTTGAACTGTCTGGAGATTAGGATGCATAACGTCACAAGGTGGAAATGCTCCCTGATTACATTTAGGCTCAGATCGCTGCTGGTTCCAGCAAATATGGAATAAATCCTCTGCAGCTTCACGTTCTGATGAACAGGCAACTCAACATGCGCCGTTTCCTGCTCAGCTTCCTCAATTTAAGTGGCGGGACAGCTGGTCTGTCGGGACGCCTCAATCAGAGGAAAACCCACCTCACCAGATGCCAGTGGCTTCGTGTTTATGGACGTCTCACCTTCCTGTGGTGCAGACTGACCTTCAAAAAGTCAACTTCCTGAAATCTACACAGAGATCAAAATCAAGTTTACTTTGGAAGCAACAAGCAAAGTAGCAAAAATGTAATGAATGACGAAAAAAACCAACATAAAAATAGAAGCTGTAAGCAAAAAACAGCAGCCTGGAAAAGGAGTCCATTACAATAATTGAGCTGAGATGTGATAAAGCAAGGATTACTGTCTCTAGACTGCTGTGAGATAAACACATTTAATCTTTGCTAAACGCCTCAACTGGTAAAACAAGACTTCACACTGAGTTCACTTAGCTGCTCATTTTCAGGAGAGGCTCTATTTTACTCCTGGATTTTTTTTACATGGTGCCAAAGATTAACCCTTAATATTTAGAGTTCTGTTAAATGATGCATTCAGATTACAGGAAAATGTGATTTTTAATTTAGTTTTTGCTCATATTTCACTTTTTCCTGGATAGCTAAATGTCCAATTCTTCATTTCCGTATGTGATAGTAAATCGTGTTTCCTCAATCGGACCCGTCATGTCGCATTTTATCCAACTTTTACGTCATAAATCTGCACCAGAAGAAGCTCGACTCTGTAAATCTGGATGTAAACAATGGCTGAAGCTGTTCAGATGTTGATGCTCTTGTGTTAAACAAGAGTTAGCATTGATCAGCCTGCACAGACCACACAACTTAGAAACAGTAGGGTTGTCCCTCCAAACTGGACGAACACACCCAGAATTTAAAGCTTTTGGGGGTTTCGTGCCCTGGTAAGGCGCAGATTTTCTCCTAGTTCCCTTACATCCTGGAGGATTGGACTAGGCCATTTCAAATGTGTCTCCATTCCCTTTTGGGTGCATTAGCTCTTTTTCCAAAAAGCCACTTTTGTTGAGGAGTTGAATTTTGTCATTTCCTTCAAGCTTTTCTCATGCAATATTTAAAAATTGTGCATCAACCAATCAAAACACAGCAGATCTGTGGAAATCTTGCTGAAGTTTAAAAGCACCAATTCTTACAATCGAGGTGAACTAACTTTGATGTGGCCCCTTCAAATCAACTGAATACTGTGTACACATCGTGACACAGTGTGTTCGCAGTACGTCCGTCTCTTCATCAGCGTCTCGTCAGCAGAGAGCAGAAAAGAATCAAACCGGACTGTTGGGAGGAAGATACCAAAAGAAAAGGGCTGGCGGTTAATTTAGCCATGATTATCTCTTTTTTTTCCATCCAATGGATTCATTACCTGATGGATTTTACAAC